AAATGGCACATGGAGAGTATGCAGGTGTTATCGAAGAGTGTACTTCTTTCATGTATATTATGAGAGTGTAATTGTTCATGTTTATTATATGGCTTTTCAAAATTCTCTATTCTGATTGGTTGACAAGCGGTCCGTAAAAACCCTTATCCGGACCGTGGTCCGTATTTTCCGTATCTGGACCGGTGTCCCGCGGATGTCGTTTATCTGGCGGGGAATTTTTGCTTTGCAAACAGAAAAAATTTTTGCTTTTTAATTTTCCAATTGTGTGTCATTAAAATTTACGGATAAAAATTTCAAACAACCAAATTGTTTTTGATTGAGCATGCATGCCTACCGTATATTTTTAGCCAGTGAAACTGACGATAGCCAATTTAATTCGCGCGAAAAGCATATGCTCGCAGACTCAGTTCAGCCATATAATAAACCGATCATTGACCTCGCTTGTTCGGTCTGTACTGTGAAATATCAGACCTCTGTTTTTTGCATGGACCTCGCTCCTTCGTCGCTCGGTCGATCCATACTAAAAAATAGGTACGCGACGCGTACATGTATCTGCGAAAAAACTTGATTCACATTTTGTATTTTCTTGAAAGAAACTGAATAATTAACTAAATGAAGATGACATGGCAAGCGCTCCCCCACTACCCCCGCACCGAGAAAATTTAACTAACTTTATAATGTGATTATGATTGTAACAGATAATTATGCAGTCAGGAAATAAAAATTTCATGCAAACAATATTCAAAGTGTCTATACAGCCGGCTATTTAGTAAACTGTCACCTGTCAATTCAATAATCCATACTCATCAAATTTTCAAAACTTTATTGTAATCATATGAAGCAAAAGTTATGTCACTTGTTGTTTACACTTGCCAATGTTAACTGTTGAGTAACATACACAAAATATTTGGTGAACATGTCGAAGACCACTGAATAATTGAGAATGTTTTGAAGGTCATGAGTGAAGTATATAATTAAACTCCAGTTCTGTGCACAGTTAATGATATACCACACTGTTCGGTTTAACACGTACAGCACACTCACACAAAAACAATCGTGTTGTGGGAGATTATCGGTTTGAGTAGAAGGTATCACAAGTTTAGTTTTGTACATTGTATGCCATTGATCAAATCCACCATATAATATATGATTATTCATTGTAACTGTTAAGTTATTTTCCATACTAATGCATTTAGGTAAGATTGTCTTGCAAGTTGGTTGTTCTGACAAAATTATCCAGCCAATATCCAGTACATTTATTCTTCATTCTTGTATTAATCTCCAAAGAAAAATATTTATGTTAGAAAGCAAAATGACAATGTAATGAGGCTCGGGAGGGTGAGGATTCTTTCATTTGAAAATGTTTGTAAAAATTTTGTTTTAATAATTAACTCTAATGTGTAAAACCAAAATGTATAAGTATTTTAACTGATAACATCTTCAACCTTTGCTCTAACACTACATTTGATGACAGCTTTATAGTTGGACTGTTGTTTTGAACAGAGTTATGGAGTCAATATACAGAAATACAGGACCAGGATTTAATTCAATATCTCCTCAGAACTGTCCAATAGGTTCCTTTGATACTGTTAATTGGCAATATTGCCTGCTATGTTTTCACTGTTTAAAAATATTACAGAAGTCACAGAAGGATTGTTTTTAATACTTTATAATTCTTTTTGTGAACTATGTTGACAAATGGCTTATTAAAAATATCCTCGAAAATATCCAATATTTTATAAATACAGTGTAACATACAGTATAACATAAAAAATTCCAGAGTGCATTTCATGTAAACTCTACGCCGAAGATACGGCAATATTAACTATAGATAGTATAGTAAATATTTGCCGAACTGGCAACTCATGTATAAATTTTATAAAATATGTGGGACATATATTTGTACAAATTTATAAATATATGTGGTATTTGACTACTTACCAGCTGAGGATAAGATTCCATGTTGATAAATAACTTCGGAATAATATCGCTAGTAGAATGGCGAGAGAAAACAGCCAAGATAAAGCCAAGAAATTCAAGATAAATTGATAAAAATATCAAGATATTTTTGAAAGAATACAAACACGATTTATACACGATTACACGAGCACGAGGCCTGACGAGGCTAAAGTATGTCCGTTTGCAGGTTAGATGCGGGCACGATGTAAACATTGATGTAAACGAATCGCTGATTGGCTTAAATTGGCTTAAATTATATAAGCGCGTCGCTGTATGGCTATGTGTTAACATACGGTAACATTACGGTACGGTCACGTTTGCGATAGCATATATATCTGCTTCGCAGATACAAAAACGTCGGTCTGATATTTCACAGTACAGACCTCACGCTCGGTCAATAAGCCGTTAATAAAATACAGATTCTCGTCCAATTTGAAAGAAACATACACTCCAGATCGAGTTATTCAAATTACACTCGTCGTTCGGACTGGTGCAATTTTGATCCTGTTTGAAAAACTCACGCGTGCATTTTTTTCCAGAAATTGCTCTCAAAACCATGCATATACTATTACCTATCCTATGGTTTAAAACCAAGTTCATGCGGTTTACTGCACAGGTCACGTTGTGGATATTTGAACGAAAAACACGACAGTAAATTATTGAAAACATTCGACTACATCCTCCGCAAACATTTACACTTGAGAAAAAACGACGACGAAGATGTTATCAAAGCACCATAAGCTCCACATACAAGCTGGAAAACTTTTAGTCAATTGTTCAAATGAAAAGCGAAGCCAAATTCATCACAGTACTATAGAAACTGTCAAACGAAGATGGCATAAAAAAAAGCGTCATTAAAAAATCATCATAGTTGAGCAAATAACAAACACTACTAAACCAAGTTCATGTCTACTGCAAAGCTGCAAAATCACGTCTGCAAACACCAATAATAATGAAAATAATTAAAACATTTGACTATATCCTCCGCAAAAATTTAAAGCTGTATACTTTTAGGGCCTGTTTATATGAAGGAGAGTAAGACGAGGCAAAAAAGCGGTCTATTTACATTCGGGCAATGAGATTTTGCCCAATCAGAGAGCGTTATTTGTCCCCATTAGGACGCTTCAATTTGTCTCTCGATTTTTTCCGCAATGTCCACTCTAGTCTTTTATAATCTCTATAATCCAAAGCCTGTAATAATAGTTCATTAATTTATTTTTACGTCGCCATTTTGAATACCTAATCAATCATTACATGGCGTTCCAAACACGCGCCAAATAATTTCCGGAATTTAGAATAATATACAGGTGGAAATCACTCTTGAAAGGGCCATGTCAGTGTTCAAAGGCGTTTTAGGCGTTTTGCTTTTCTAACTTTAGCGCGAGTGGCCATATTAACGGGATGAAACTATATAGGATTATACTGTTTGGGATTTCAAAATGTGACCGTTAGCGGTATTAACGGGAGACCGCATTGACGGGGTAGTTTTATAAAAAAATATATGGCCGTTTTGTCGGGTCAAAAAGTGGCTGTAATCACAGGGCGTCCATGCACTGTATCCGTTCCTCTGTGTGTGTTTTTTTTTTCAATTAGAATATTTAAAAACTTTCCGACACGTACGTGTGTTAATTTTTAACGCATTTTCTTCCCAAAGTAACTGTACAAAAATTAAAACACTCTGTATTTGCCGTAGAAATCACGTCCGTCTGCGGTCTAATATTTGCATGAGATAAGCGACTGATGGCATTCATATTTCTGCGTTTTAACATACATTTATTGGCATACTGTTGATAGTTGAGATTTCTTACTTAAATATTTCAACTAACGCGCGAGTTGCGAGCATTGTCTCACATATTGTTTGTGAACAAAAACTTAATATAAAATTTGTGCAAATATTATAAAATGAATTGCTTCCTCTGTATGATATCACTTCCTAATGTTCCAATTAGGAATCTTTCGATCAGGTTCGAAAGACAATCTTTTCCCAAAATCCATGTCTCACCTTGGTGTGGGAAAAATGCCAACTCTGCATGCACATTACTGATCTCAAAACTAAGCCTGGATATAGGGCACCTAGTATTCATAAATGAAGGCAATGACGCAATAGGGAGCTTTAGTAGCGACTACGAGTACGACTATGAGATTCAATCGCGTGCGAGGAAATCACCATAGTCGTTCTCGTTTCCGTTCAAATGTTGCTTTTATAGTAGTAAACAAACGAGAGAAAAAATTTATATAAACTAAATCTGCAGGCTAAAATCCACTACAAAATGTGCAAATAAGTCATAACATCAAAAACAAGCCAGGCGACAAATTATTTTTGAAAAACAAAAAAAAGCCAACTTTCTTTGCTTTTTTAAAAGTCGTGGTGAGGACTACGAGATTTTTCCACAATTTTGTACTCAGATGGGCGACGGTTACGACTTTTTCGCGTCAGTACAGGATGGCGTAAGCATACAGCATGCGTTTCGCTTGACGAATCTCGTACTCGTATAGTCGCTGCTAAAGCTCCCTAATATTGGCGTCACAACCGCAAATCTACAGTGGTGTTGCTGACATGTTAGAAAATAGGTTCTTAATGTTTCTGGTGATTGGACGGAATAAAAATATATTGCCTAGACAGAAATTGATTATTAGTGGCCTCTCTGCCCTCTAAAATTTACCAGTGAATAATTAATGAGGTCACAGCAACGCGTCAAGTCTCACCAAGTCAGTTCTCCTTATCTCGTGTTTAAAACGATCTAAGACTCATTATATGAGGGGGTGTTGGAAGCTATGTCTTTCAAGTTAAACGTATAGAAGAAGATATTTGCTTGTTGATTAGTAAGTAATATGACCGCAGATTTAAGAATCACTCCTCATTATTAATATTCTCTATCTCACTTGAAAATGAATTTCCTGAATTCAAAAGGTTGTTCTATCCAGTCTCAGCTTGAGACCAGTACGGAAAACGTCCAGTTGTATTTGGGGCAGTTATAAAACTAGCAATATAGAAAGCAAGTTCAGAAAGCGATGCATTTATGTAGTTTTCACACAAGAACCTGATTAACAAACTTTCTAGTTGTGATAAGCATTGCATGTTTAATACATCTAATCATTATTTCGATTCAATCGATGGTTATATCGTCATCATAACAAACTCTCCACACGCTCTTTTTCTTTTCCTTCTTTCATTAAATTTTACTGGTTAATGTATGCCCCCTATAAGTCTCTAGAGTATGCACAGTGACGTCATTCAGGTGTTTTACAGTTTATATCGTCATATATATACAAATACTTTAATTAAAGCAGCATATTTTGAGAAACCATGATAAGTCTTCTAGAAACACTCATAGTGATTGTAATATTACGAAACGAAATTATATTATTATATAATAACTACCGTGAAACACGAATTTGATTGGTCAATAGCCGTGCAATAATAATAATAGGTCAATAGCCGTGCAATAATACTAGCCCAATGCTCTGCCAACTGAGCTACGCGGTCAGGTCGGTTCAGGTTGGCAGAGCATTGGGCTAGTATTCCAATGGTCGTACGTTCGATTCCCACCGTGGCCAGGCATATTTTTCAAGCCTGCCTGGTGTGGATACACACTCAGAGTAACATCAAAGCATCTTATTCACCTGAGTACACTGCACCAACACAGCAGATATCACATTATACATCGTTATGTATAAACTTGCATGAAAACAACCGTTATTAAATATGTTTTTCAGGCCGATATGATTTGCATTTCCATTCCGTCTATGCTTGCAATATGCAATACTGTAATATGCATATAAAAGAAACAAGTCTATATATGCATGTTACTACACCATGCAGCATATATTTCACAACCAATATAATAATTCTTGGATAAATCAATATAATAATTCTTGCCGATCAAATCAATTATCGCCATGCAAACCTACAAAGAACTTATAATAATTCTTCCTTATCAGTACGCAAACTTAAAAACAATTATTATGTTTTCTTCCTGACACTTCTATGCAATAAATCATGCAAATTCTTGCAAAATATCGATTACAATACGCACAATGCCAATAATATAGAAATTCTAGAAAATTATCTTTCTTGTTGCTCCAAAAACGTAAACAAAACCCGTATATTTTCATCAGCAAAGACAGCAATAACATTCTATAACGACGCATTTCTGTTCTTAGACGAAAGTCCACATCATAAAAAAATACTAAAAATAGCTAAAAAAATACAACATTTGATAACTCAAATGTCTAGATTAATGACGGAAGGACACTTTTTCTCCAAGAACACTTATCGTCAGCATCATAGATTCCCAATACGCCGTTTTTCTTTTCCTTCTTTAATTAAATTTTATAAGTTATTGTTCCCTAAAAGATTCTAGAGTATTCAGAGTTACGTCATTCAGGTGTTTACAGTTTATATACTGTCATGCATATACACTTATACATCAAAGCATATTTTGACCAAAAAAACCATGATAAGCCAGACGTTCTCATAATGATTGCACATTGTATTACTTACTATATTCAATAAAAGATCATTTTTTAATATACATGCTGTTTCAAAAAAGGTTGTCCTTCAAATATCTCAAACCTTAAACTCGAAGCGCGCAAGGTGTGATGCGTAACTTCTTACTTAAGGCCCAAAACGTGCAAATTTGTGATGTTTTGTCTATATCTGAAAACGTCTATGACTATGCAATAAATCAAATCTTGCAGTATGTATACATGCATTATACAATCAGCGCGCATGGCTAATGATAAAGAAATTCTTAGACTATATATATACCATTCAAAAACTTATTAGAATTGACAATTAATGAGGAAAATACAAAAAAAAATCAAAAGCGTGTCGTATCTTTATAAATGATAGAGATTTCCCTTGATTTACATAAACTTTAACTTTGATTTTCTCGACTTACACAACGTATTTTTTGAAAATTACGTCGCCAATGAACTTACTAGATCGATCGTTTTTGAAGCAATTTAAAACATTCGAATAAGTGCGTGTTTTATCAGACCTAAAGATACTCGGCTTCGCCTCGTAACTTTATATCTGATAAAACACTGCTGCTCATGTTTTAAATAGTACATCAAAAACAATTATCATTCTATATACTATACTGTTCCAAAAGCATAAACAAAACCCGCGTATATTTCATATATAAGCATGATAAGAGCAAAAACAGCATTCTATATAATGACGCATGTATTTCTTTTCTTAGACTTTTTCGTGAACATTCGAAAGTCAAAATATCAAAACTGAAATACAAAATTTGATAACTTGAATGCTGTAACTTAGTCTATGACTACTGTACGTTAGTGTAGGTTAATTATTATAAATATAATGTTTCTTGGACACGCGTTTATTCTATATGTTCAGCGCAAAATTAAACAATATAGATGGCAACGTATATACAACTTATTTCAAACAATACATGATACATGATATTAATTGGTTTAATATTGACGAAAATACATTACACATCTTTTCGGACGTGACGATTAAGAGCTATACCTTTTCTCATAAATATTTTTTTATTCACAATATATATTAGATTCCAGCTCAAAATATGCAAATTATTTCAAGATAACAAATGTTAAATGAAAACATTCAAAAAAATTTATTGTAACAAGCATGCAGTCACGTACGAATATATACTTAAATTCTGAGAAAAATGAATGCTTATTGACATTGTTGTATATATTATTTCTCATTGTAGGCTACGCGTTTATTCCCAAAATTTAAATGTCAATTTCACAATCAACTACATGCATGTCCAAAATATTACTTTAGTTCAGAAAGAGAGAAAACGTTTTACCTCTAAAATGTTAGCAAACAGAAAAGTCAAGTCGAATAAATTTTGTGAAAAAACGTGACTTTAATTAACAAGACGAACGTAAAGTTTACTGATACGTATCGATGTTTTTCTAATTTTGCTACCGGATTTCAGACGGAAGCAATTCAGCTGATCAGATTTTTCATTTTTTAAAAAGATGGACACTAACGAGGGACAAATGGGTTTTCAATGAGAAAGAAAACGTGTGGTCAAGTAAAATCACGTACTATACGTGGCCTTTACAAAACAAATTTATCTGGGAGCAATTCAGACGTTCAGTCTCATCCACTTCACAGCTAATATCGAGGGGTAAATTACTTTGAAAATCTTCGTACACTTCATAAAAAATCCAAAAAAATCTTTGGAAAAATCCCAAAATCTTACTAAATCCCAGAATCCCCAAATCCCAAGACATCTATAAAAATTGCATAAAATACTTGGAAAAAGCCCAATAAAATCCTCAAAATTATTGCAATATCGAAAAATCCCATCAAATTTAATTTAAACATTTAAATCGTGAATTGGCGTGAAAATACCCTTCGTTGATTTACTTCATTTTAAAAATAGTTCGACGGATTATATGTCTCAAAAAATGTCGGAAAAGGTTCGGCGAAAAAAATAAGGGAAATATTTCGAAAAAATCAGCTGAAAAAAATCCCAAAATCCTTTAAATTTTGGGAAAAAATCCCAGATTTTCTAATCCCAAAAATCTTCGTACGCTTTTTTCAGGAAATTTACCCCTCGGCTAATATTATTTAAACTAGCTATTCTGGCGAAACGTTATCACTTCAGTTATATAATAGAGCTCACTGTTTCAAACATGGTGGCCGAGTGATGAACTATATAGTTCCTTGAGGGTGCTATGTATTAGACACTCAATGTTTATGCATGCACAATATACATACAACAACAGGTCCTTTGAATTGCACTTACATTCTAAAAACACTCTGTTCAAAATTTCCTGTTCAACTTTGGACTTTGCTCAGGTCTCTCTCGAATTGGCTTCAGTGTTGATATATAGGCTCTATCCTGTCCGTTATGAGATCAGTGGCGGATACTTCGCAAAACATTGGGGGAGGATTTAGGTCGCCACCATATATGGCCACCTTTTGTTACCGCAAATCTTATAGTTCCGTAAACTTTGTTTGTCTTAAATTTCTTTTTAATTCGCCTTAGCTATATAGCCTATCATGCTAGAAAAATTATTGTCGCAGCTTTGTTACACAGTTATTCAGCTATCAAGCAAAGGTTTTCGAAAACTATTGGTGGAGGGGGATGGGGGGTAGCGCTTGCTATAGTCTTAAGGAGCGAGACTTGTAGAACTGCTACTAACTGAGCAATACTCGGGGGATACTGTACTACTACTATTAAATTAAAAAAATACATGCAGTGTCAGTAATACCCGCGTAAAAGTTGTCCATAACTGTCGCTATATGTATTGCATTAAATTTAAGCAAAAAGGTTTAAAGAACTAAGATTCCGGCGACAAAACGTGGTAATAAGTTGGCGACCTAACCTTACTACGCAATATGATTGAAAACACCTAATTTCAGGCGACTATCCGCAGTTTGCGCAAGAATTTAAGGCCTTGAGGTTATTTGTCCACCGACTTAATCGTAGATTTCGGCGGTGGATTAAGCAAATGATTTTTCGCGGTCAACCAATGAAGTGAATATTTAATGAATGTCGAAATATTATCTTCATAAAAAAAACAACTTGCAAAAAAGTAATGCATTTTTAAGTGCTATTATAAACAGCTGAGATTTTAGCACGGTATTTGCATGAAGATGATATATTTCAAAAAAGTTAACCCTCGATATTGTTTTACAAATTCATGTATAATAATATACGCGATTGCTTCAGGTGAAGAACTCACGTGTACACTGCACGTTTGAAGGAAATCAGTTCTTCAAAAACATCTGTTATCAGTGAACACTAATTGTATACTACGCGTTATGATAATGCAGCTGATTGGCAAGAGCTCTCGGCGCCTATATAAGTCGCGGCGCTTGTCTAGTTCAATTAGTCCAAGCAAAGCCGAGAGCAAGAACAAAGAGAAGCGATACACAAGAAGACATAACACATTTGAAAAGAAAGATGGGTTTGACATACAAACAAAATACCAAAGTGAAAGAAATGTTCAAGCTTATCGAAAAATTACAAGTGAGTACATAGACATCTATGCAACATTTAAAGAACCCATAATGTTAAAAAATTCTTAAGGCTTATTTTGTTTTCCATTGCATGGGTTCTGTGCACCTTTCGTACAAGCAACGAGGTCACGAGAATTAGTGCAATTACTGCGCTGATTTAAAGGTCAACATATGCTGAATAAGTTTTTTCTTTCTTCAGGAAAATCGTTTGAACGACCAGCGATGTGATCCAAACGTTATCAGCAAGACAAAAAATGAGCAATTCTTTGCCATGATATTTCACTCTCAGTCAAAAAGAATGGACGATCAACGCTCGGAATTGCCCGTCAAGACCCAAACACACAAGTAACTTGGAAACGTTTGGAAACTTTTGACAAACGGGAAGTGTCTTCCCTGTGGAATTTCCAAATGGAATTCGTGAAGTTCACATAAAGAAAAGAAATTCGTGAAGTCCACGTAGAGAACAATCGATCCCAAAGCGAAGTTCTCAGAAAAAAAGACAGTTATGAAGGCGGTTATGAATGAGATGAAAAGTCAACTATAAAGTTTAAGAACAGAACTTTATATACATAAGAACTGCAAACGACATGCAGAATGTGAACATGAATCGAAGCACATCTGAATACGAACTTAGAACTATATAACTATATGTAAATAAGGATAAGCCAGTTTGTGACTGAGAACATATCCTCCAATGTGCTCAATTTGAAGTTGTTACATAGAATTATCATCTGTATTGTATGTAATGTTTTTTTGATAACAATTAAACAGTGTCTTGCTTGTGAGATGTTTGTGCTTATTAAATTTAGCCTGCAATCAATGCGACAAGGCCCTTTACACTTGCAATTTTGCTGCGATTTTGGCCGCTATTTCCTTCTTCTAAATGAATGTAGAGTAGACGAGTTATGAATGTTTTGAGTATCTGGCTGTATAGCCTCACTTGAACATTCATAACTCACCCACTCGTTTACATTCATTAGAAGAAGAAAATAGCGCCAAAAATCGCAGCAAAATTGCAAGTAAGGTAAACATGCCTACAGCAGACCTTATCAATAAAATAATTTTTCTGAGATGATATACTGCCGAGTGTGTTCACACCGTGCAAGCTGAAAAGATTGCCTGACCGCGGTGGGAATCAAACCGCGCCCTCTGATTGGCTAGTCTAATGCTCTACAACCGAGTTACAAGGTCGACTCGGTTCGAGCAGGTGATATTTCTGGTGATTATTCTCTAGATTCTTCGATAACAGTATATCGGTCTTATGATTATGAATAAAATTCATTTGCTTATGTTTCGTTGTATAAAATCCTGAAAATACGCTCAGGGTGTTAGCTAGCCCATATAATGTCCGTTTGAAGGACTCTTACCAATTGAAGTAGCTAAGGGGCTTTCCCAACTGGGTCTACTGGAAGATTTTCATTTTTTCTGCATTGCGTTTGATTTTATATTATTATATCAAAGAACGTTTTATTTACTTTTTCCCATTAACTATTTTCTCAAAATGTATCGCGTTTCATTCATATCGGAATTTTTCGGGTGTGTATTCACTGAAATGTACAAAACAAAGTGTAATCGGTGTCCATCCGTGTTCATTCACCGGAAATGAAATATACAAAACGAAGTGCCATCGAGTGCATTTTTCAGTGTTCATTCACCGGAAATGAAATGTACAAAACCAAGCTACCGTTGTTTGCATCTAAGAAGAAACACGTTGGAAAAAAACACTTTTATTCCTACACAAGGATTTTGATCGGTCTTACTGGTGCTTTATAGGGTGATTTATACTACAGAATTTTTGCCTAAACCTGTCGCATGCAACCTGCTTGCAACTCGAGTTGTCGTAGGTGAGCTGTGTGGTCTTGATTTACAGTACAATTCAAGTTGTAGCATTGTAGCAAGTTGCATGCGATAGCAATATATCTGCGCCTGCGCATATAAAAACGCCAGTAAGACTAAATTTTTAATAGACAGATTTAGATCGAGGGCGTCAAAGACGACGTGAAAATGGTGTCAAAATGGCGTGGTATATCCATCAGCATGCCATTTTCATGCACGTGTCATATCCATGTCATTTTCACGTGTCATATCCATGCCATTTTCACGTGTCATATCCATGTCATTTTCACGTGTCATATCCATGCCATTTTCACGTGTCATATCCATGTCATTTTCATGGTGTCAAAATGGCGTGGTATATATAACACGCCATTTTCACGTCATCTTCGACGTCCGCGTCCTCGATCTAAATCTGTCTGATAAGCATGCACGATATCCTACCTTCTGTATATTTGTTGGCATCTCGACCAGCACTTGCGAGGAGTCAGCTGTCGACTTTGTTCGTCTTGACGTTGTTGGTACCTTGAGAAACAATGAGAGAAAACAATGAGAGATTTACACAGATCTTTCTAAAGAAGAAGAACACCTTAATTTAAAAAACATTGGCAACAAAAAATTAGTTTGTCTCATTCAAAAGAACTCTAAATTAAGAAAATTATATATTACAGGTAAACTACGTGAAGCGTTCCTCTTTTGACTTCGCAACTCATTTGGAATTTTCCTCATTAGCTTTGCAAATTTGAAAAACTCTTTGTAAATCCCTTGAGGGAATTTGCAATGTTCCTATCGGCTGTTGCAATATTCCAAACTTCATATTAAATTTTCCTAACTTCCTGTTTTAATTTCCTAACTTCCTGTTCTGTTCTGTTCTGAGCGTTGTTATTGGTCGATTATTTTTGTTAGCCAATTGCAACACGCAGAACAGAACAGGAAGTTAGGAACTTGTAACAGGAAGTTAAGAACTTCTAAAAGGAACTGAGGAAAATTTTATTGGCTTTTAGCAACATTGCAAATTTCCTCAAGGGATTTGCAAGGGAGTTTTTTAAATTGCAAAAGTAATGAGGAAAATTGTAATCAATTTAGAAACTCAAAAGAGGAACGCTTCACGTAGTTTACCTGTAAACTGCATTACCAATTTGTCATATCTTGCTTAGTTCTCGAAATATTCAGACCGAAATTAATGAGGTGTCCGCCATCTTGGACTAATTCTTGACCTCATTAACTATGGTTTTGATGACGTCAGGAGTTGGGCTAACCATATAAAATTGCTCTAAAATGACCGAGTAACAGTCCAAAATTGTTTGAAATATTTTCAATAATCTCTAAATTTCAGACAGCAAACAGAAACGTTTCGAACACATATTAGTGAGCTTAAGCAAGTGACGTTTTTGACAACACGAACGGCATGAGTAACGTCAGAAGACTGGGTCAAGGGCTGTGATTGGTGAAAAACGTCAATTTTACTTCCGCTCGACGTCCGTGTTGTCAAAAACGTCACTTGCTTAAGCTCACTATTGACCGCTTTAAGGCCGTTTTCCACTAGGCGAATTTGTTCGCGCGACGCGAAGCGAAAACCGAAATCCGGCAACGTGATTGGTCGGCGAAAAAATTCGCGGCGAAAAAGTAGGATCACTTCCTACTTTTTATCTGTTCGCGCGAAAAAATTCGCCTAGTGGAAAACGGCCTTTACTCTCAAGATAAAAATTAGTGTGACCCCTCTCTTGACGTACATGCATATTTTCAATAATCCAAGATGGCGAACCGGCTCGCTTTTTTCAGTCGAAATATTTTGAAAACTAAGCAAGATATAAACAATCTGTAATGGATTTTTTCTGTGTTGGTGTTGTGTACTCAGGTGAATATGATATTTGTGATGTTACTCTGAGTGTATATCCACACCGGGCGAGCTTGAAAAATATGCCCGGCCACGGTGGGATTCGAACCTACGACCTTTGGAATACTAGCCCAATGCTCTTCCAACTGAGCTACGCGGTCAGGACGGTTCAAGTAAGTGATATTTCGGAACAGAATCTAGTTCCTTCGATACCAATGTATTCTAGTAATATGATTTTTTCTGTGTTGGTGTTGTGTACTCAGGTGAATATGATATTTGTGATGTTACTCTGAGTGTATATCCACACCGGGCGAGCTTGAAAAATATGCCCGGCCACGGTGGGATTCGAACCTGCGACCTTTGGAATACTAGCCCAATGCTCTTCCAACTGAGCTACGCGGTCAGCATGGTTCGAGTAAGTGATATTTCGGAAC